ATCCACGCCCTCCTCCCATCACAAATCCTATATCCGCCCATGGCCCCCTTTTGTATCCAAAATATACACAAGATTTAATAAATCAATTTATAATGTGGCTTTGGGCCCCTACCCCGACACAAAACTGGTCGGGCCCCCTTTTCAAGATTCCTGTTTCCGCCACTGAAAAAGAATGCGTCGTTCTCTTGGATGTCGATATCTGAATTATGTTTTATTTAAACACATAGTCTAATATATCATGGGCGCCAATAATAGGACGATTATTTGTTTTTTAAAATAAAATGGTTCTTACAGATGTTAAAAAAACCTTATAAACGGCTCAATAATTATTCAATTCATCTACAACAAATGTTAGTTTAGTTCTTTGCTTTCATAATCTAACTTTTTATAAATTAACACGAAAGTCGTGCGATCGTATACAAATACTCAGAAGCAATCTTTCATATTTAATGAACGTATAGGTGAATAAATTTCCTCTCATCACTATACGTAAACCCCCATCCTCGATATAAATAGAATGTTTTCCTTCGCAGTCGGTTGGTTTTACCAGGTACATGTCAGTACAAGTGAGGATGGAGCTTTATAGAAGCAGGTGATGAATTCCGAGAGAAAGGCACTGCCTATTTTATATACATGTACATTCTTAGGGACCTGGTTTTCTGAACCGATCTCACTGTTATTCAAAGACCTAGCTAGAAATTCTCTCTCTCTCTCTCTCTCTCTCTCTTTGAAATGCAGGCCCGTCGATTGTAAAAAAAAAAAATGACAAAATAATTTCAATTTTTAATAAGTATCTCATCTCCCAAGCCAAAGACCCAAGTAAGCTTTTGCTGTTCATAATTCTTCATCTTTGTTTGCTATATTGGTGTATATAAGCATTATCGTCGTTGTTGTTCTAAAGCTACTCGTAAATTTTTCTCATTTTTATCTTATCAAGAACCACTGGACCATAACAACGAAAGTTAACAAAGAATATTTTTGGTAAAGTTTTGTTCAAATGAAGGGTCACATCCTCTTTTAACGGATACATGTAGAAAAAATTAGATGGGGTCCAGGCGCAGATCAAGGAATTTTTTTCCACGGAGGGGGGGGGGGGGAGGGGAGGGGATCCCAATAAAAAAAAATATTTCAACCCAGAAATTTCTTGACGAGCCAAAAGATAGAAACTCTTTTCCCAAAGGTGAAAAACCTATTTCGTGTGTGTGTTTGTGTGTGTGTATGGGGGAGGGGGGGGTCGTTGACTTTTAAAGCTTCATACCTAAGACTTTTCATACCATTTTAACACAGATCCGCGTTTTCTAAGGGGGGGGGGGGCATGGTCAGTTTTACTTGTTAGCTCACCTGAGCTGAAAGCTCAAGTGAGCTTTTCTGATCACCCGTTGTCCGTCGTCCGTCCGTCTGTCTGTCCGTCCGTCTGTAAACTTTTCACATTTTCAACTTTTTCTCAAGAACCACCGGGCCAATTTTAATCAAACTTGGTACAAAGTATCCTTGGGGGAAGGGGAGTTTAAATTTTTAAAATAAAGGACCAAGTCCCCTTACAAGGGGAAATAATCAAGAAAAGACAAAAATAGGGTGGGGTCATTAAAAAATCTTCTTCTCAAGAACCACTGGGCCAGAAAAGCTGAAACTTACGCGGAAGCATCCTGGGATAGTGAAAATTCTAAATTGTTAAAGTCATGACCCCTGGGGGTAGGGCGGGGCCACAATAGGGAATCCAAGTTTTACATTGAAATATATAGGAAAAATCTAAAAATCTTCTTCTCAAGAACCACTGGGCCAGAAAAGCTGAAACTTATGTGGAAGCATCCTGGGGTAGTGTAGATTCTAAATTATTCAAATCATGACCCCTGGGGGTAGGGCGAGGCCATAATAGGAAATACAAGTTTTACATTGAAATATATAGGAAAAATCTTTAAAAATCTTCTTCTCAAGAACCACTGGGCCAGAAAAGCTGAAACTTTTGTGGAAGCATCCTGGGGTAGTGTAGATTCTAAATTGTTCAAATCATGACCCCCAGGGACAGGGCTGGGCCACAATAGGAAATACAATTTTTACTTAGAAATATATAGGAAAAATCTTTAAAAATCTTCTTCTCAAGAACCACTGAGCCAGAAAAGCTGAAACTTTTTTGGAAGCATCCTTGGGTAGTGTAGATTCTAAATTGTTCAAATCATGACCCTCAGGGACAGGGCTGGGCCACAATAGGAAATACAAGTTTTACTTAGAAATATATAGGAAAGATCTTTAAAAATCTTCTTCTCAAGAACCACTGAGCCAGAAAAGCTGAAACTTTTTTTGGAAGCATCCTGGGGTAGTGTAGATTCTAAATTGTTCAAATCATGGCCCCTGGGGTAGGGTGGGGCCACATTAGGTATTACAAGGGGGGAAGTCTGGTAATGAACAGCATGGCCAAAGTTACTCACGTGAGCGATGTAGCCCATGGGCCTCTTGTTTAGTATATACATTTAACTGCCCCCAACCCCCCCTAGATCCGCGCATGGGGTCATTTGAAAATAGCATTCTCAAGAATCCCTGGACTAGAATGAGAAAATTTCCAACATAGCATACATTCATTTTTTTTTTTTTTCAAATATTGATTCCAGGGAGAAGGTTTGGGCCGGAAAGAGTGTTCATAATTTAACAAAGGAATTTATATATCCCCCAAAACGAAGTGTGTGGGTTTGGGGTGGGGGTGTTTTGAGTCTTTTGGAATCACACTGTCCGTCTGCCTAGCTGTCTGTCTATACGTGATAGATCGCCAAAGATATTATAACTTTGTTATGAAGAAACTGGAAGGTCATACTTGGTACAAAGATTACTAATGATCCGAAGGTGTGTCATGGTTTTGATCCAACATCATTCCAGCAAGTTCAAGGTCATTGGAAAAAAATAGCAAGTATCATACTTGATACAGAAATTGCTTATGACAAAATTAAAGGGTTTGACACGACTTTCATCCAAGGTCATGCCTGTAAGTTCAAGGTCACTGACAGAAAACTGTAAGATTACTGTATGTGTTATAACTTTTGAAGCTCATACTTGGAACAAAGATTGCTTATGATCCACCGGTTTGAGATAACATAGTACTAGACTGGCAGAAGAAGTGGCAAAATTCGTGCCTGATTTATAAATTTATAAGGGGTGGGAGGAACACAGGATACTTTTTCTCAGATTGCTTGAGATGGGTTTTCCTGACCTTGAACAAAGGTTTTTCGGCAAGTTCAAGGTCACTGGTAGATAAATATTATTTTTTTTCCACATGCTATAACTTTGTTATATAAAATCACTGGAAGCTTTTACTTGATACAGAGATTGCTTATGATCCAAGAATGTTTTGACCTTGATCCAAGGTCTTTCTGGCAAGTTCAAGGTCACTGACAGTAAAGTACAATATTATTTTTCAGGTATATCTTTGTCATTGGGTATCACTGGAAGCTCATAATTTGTTCAAAGGTTGTTTTTGACCTTAACATAGGTCATTTAGGCAAGTTCAAGGTCACTGATATAATAAGTGTAATAAGTCTAGTCGCCCAAGTGGCGCAGTGGTAAGAGTGTCTGCTCTAGAGTCGTGGATTATGGAGTTGATCCTTACGTCGCAGGTTCGAATCCCACTGTGGGACGCAGAGACTGATCCTTCAGATGAGACCGTACAAACTGAGGTCCCGTCTGGCAGTAGGTGCTGGCACGAAAAAGATCCCTCACTGCTAAATGGCCATGTGTGCCGAGTATAGGTCAAAATTTGCAGATCTCCATCGACAAATGGTGGCGTCTCCATATGATTGAAAAATTCTCGAAAGGGACGTTAAACAACATACAAAAAAATAAACAAAAAGGTCTATACTTTTGTAATAGAAAAAATTGCATGCATTTGCATTTCACTGAAAAGATGATAAATATATCATCCAGAGTGTGTAATGGCCTTGACTTAAATTCGAGGTCACTTAGAATATGATGTTTTGGATGAATAGTCTGAAAGAATACGTGACTGTGATTTTTTTTTATGTCGGTGACATAATAAAGATGGTGTTTGCTCTTAACCAGCTGCAGAATGTGTCATGGCTTGACGCAAAGTTATTTGGACAAGTTCAAGTTCACTGACAGGGGAATTTTACATTCCTTTACTGTCTTTCTACTGTTGAAACATTGAAAGTTGATGCCCCTTACAGGATTGTTTATAACCTTAAAATGTTGCATGACCTTGACTCAAGGTCTCTCTGTCCTGTCCGGAGCTCCGACGGAAGACCTATTCGTTGCATTGCAACGAGCTCGGCTCTAGTTTTGATCTACTTTCATTTTTAAATATATGATCAATTCAAACTACCAATATTTCATTTTTTTATTCATTTCTTTTATTCAACTAAAGTAGACATAAAAAAATCACTTCTTAATTAATGGGGCAGTTTTATAAATGTAATTAATTATGAACATTGATCAGGCAACAAGCGTAAGAAAGCTTGGGTTAATCAGGGACCAATATATACTAACGTTAGTACATATGTCACTGGGTTAATTGACACAAAATTTAGTTTCAACACATTTGGTAAAACACATTTATTATCAATGTACAATTCAGGATTTTAACAAAAGAAGAAAACAAGATTGCGAATGGTTTTGTGTTGTTATGTAATCTACTTTGTAAAATAAACAAACTTCGTATCAATCACTCAGGTAAGTGCACTGAAGTGTGACTAATCTCCCCAAACAAGCTGTTGTGTATAGACAAGGGACAGTGCATGAACCACAGGTGTAGATAGGTGTTATCTTTTGTTTTGTTGATTGTCCCAAGGTGTGAAAAAAATATTACGGACGATAATTTTCTATTATAGTAAGCGAAGTGTACACTTTTATCTATGATAATAACAGACGAAATTTACAATGAATTATTAAGAAATGGTTTTGTGTTTCAAATATCTATGATAAAAAAAAGAAGTATGATATAAAACCGGTATGATAAAAAACGACTTGTACTGTATTACATGTTTTATATTTTCAATCAGGTGACACCTACAGCACCAATATTGAATTACAGGACCACACTGATATTGAGGAAATAAGTGTTTTGCCTGAAAAGCATCTAACAGCTCAGCAGCCGTTTATGTTCTTTGACTTGGAAACAACAGGACTAGGTGTGTGCATAATTTTGCTTGAATAATTTGGTTAACTGTGGAAACAATACAGATGCAGCATCTTTGTTTTGGGCATATATATTTCATATCTGCAAATTTTGAAGAAAAAAAAATCATTTTACTTCTCCACAAGAAGTTTTGATATCTTTATGCAAAATAATATATAGCAATTATTCATCCTAAGCACTTCAGTGTGTTGTAGTGTGACATATTTTCAGTCTAAAGACAATTTTTTTGCAGAGACTAAAAAAAAAGTGTGGAATTGTAAAAAAAAAAAAAAAAAAAGGCAGAAGCAGAACTTCGTGAAATCTTATTGAAAAAAAAAATTGTTTTATTGAATGATTTAGTACCTCAGATGTATAATTATAATGTCTCAATGTGTTCCATTACAGGGCGTACTTCAGATATCATTCAGATAGCAGCTGTCTGCAGTGATAAAACTTTTAATACATATGTATTCCCTACTAAGCCCATAAGTCCTGGTGCATCATCAGCCACTGGTTTGAGTTTCAAAGATGGAAAACTACTTCTCCAGGAAAAAAGCATTGAAGCAGTTAAGCAAAAGGATGGTCTGTTACAATTTCTTGCATTTGTGAAGAAATTTACTTATCCTTGCATCGTAGGACATAATATTAAAAACTTTGATGTGCCTGTTCTCATTAATTCTTTGGAAAAATATGGTCTTTGTGAAACTTTAAACCGAAGTATTTCAGGTTTTGTTGATACGTTAGTTATTGCAAGATCATTGTACAATAAGGATGAAGTAAATGGAAGTTTTTCTCAGCAGTCCCTCATTAAATGTTTGTTAGGCAAAGAATATGCAGCACATAATGCATTAGAAGATGTTGTTGCATTGCGGGAACTGTTTGAACATTTCAGTCTGAATGAAAATCAATTAAATGATTTTGTTTTCCAACTGTCTTATTTTGCTTGTAAATCTAGTCTCCATGCATTAGTTGAGAAAAAGGTAATTTCACAAAATATGTGCAACAAACTTGCTGCTTGTTCCCTAGGGATGTCTCAGCTAAGGAAAATTCACAACCGTGATGATATGAATGGTATTGCTAGCATTTTAAAAGAGTGCAAGATTGCAAAGAAATGTTCCATTGCCAACAAAATAATAAAATTCCTTGATGATTTGTCATCGGAAGCATAGGTGGCAGGATCTGTTCAAAGATTGATAGTGCTTATATCATGATGTGTACTGGTATTGAACATTTTGTGCATAGTAGTTAGAATTTTTAATTTTTGCTAATTATGTGAGAAATTTTAAATACCAGTTGTTGAACTTAATCATTTTTGTGCAAAATATTGCATATTTTCAAGATATGAACTTTTTCTATTGTATACTTGTCAGATAGGTGCAGAGTACTTGGATTTTAATTTTTCATAATTTGTGAGAAAAATAAAATTTCTTGAATTTAGTCACTTTAATGCAAAACATGTTTATAGGTTACCATGTATATTGATGGTATGACTCACCTCCTAGAGTTATCAGAATAGAAACTTTTTTTTTAAAAAAAATTTGTGAGAAATACTAGTAACGGTACTGTTCACACAAAAGGAAATCTGGCCCATTTGCTGTCACATTGACAGTTTTCCCTTGTTCATTAGTATTTTGATGGTTGCTGTATAGAAATAATTTTTTCTTTTAAATATTATTCTTTAATAAAAAGTTACATTTTCTGATAAATATTTACGAAGTGAAACAGAAAATATCCTTAAAACAGTCTTTATCACCAAATGTTGTGTAAGTGCAAAAAGGTCAACAGAAGTTGTACTAATAAATTGACATATTTTTCGTAAGTTAGTAAGGCAACATGTATATTTTAATCACTTTTTATCATCATTTAAGTATGTTCTTCATCATATTAAAGATTAAAAATCCTGTGACAAAGACTTTTGAATTTTTTTTTACAATTTTAGTATGTTAGGTTGACTAAAAATCCTTTGAAAATAATGAGCCTCTTTGCATACATTTGTTGAAATGTGGGTTTATCTCTTAGAAAATTTGAAAAAAATGAATGAATTCCTGATCAATTCTACAAAATAGTGTCCAGTCAATAAAATCAGTTAATTTTGATATTCACAACGGTGTTTTTGTTATTTTTTATATCATTTTTGTGTCTTAATTGCAACACTCAATATGGCTGAAAATATAGAGTTACAGTGTATAATATGATACCAAGTTACACAAGTTGCACTGTATTTAATAACAAGGAAAGACACCATTTATTTTAAACTGATTAATAAGCAAATGCTAATAAATCATTTTAAAAAGTTTGAAAATCCTGTGACAAAGACTTTTCCGACATAGGTTCTACCTTAAGTAATAGTACAGCGACTCGTACGTGCATAACAAAATGGCTACACTTAACAAAGCCTTACTAATATTAACGTATCAGCAGTTATATAACATGTATCAACATAACTAATTTTAGAAACATATGTACTTAAAGATTATTCATCAAAATTTATCTTTGTTTGGCATTTATGTCTCGTACACATCGCCATGCGGGCTAATGTCAACTTTAGGAAACGATTTTTTCCTGTTGGACATATTACTTACGCACTGTAGATACAGCCCAAACTCGTGAAATTGAGAAAATGATGCTAAAAATTCAACAATATCACAAAGAATGTATACATATTATTGTATTTCCTAAATTTTATTTAATTTAGAGGATTGAAAGTGGATCTTTTTATATCTTGTAGTTGCGCGATTAATAATTTATGTAAAGTTGGACACGGGAATTTCGCCGCAATAACCAATAATGAATAAAGCCATATCATAGATGATATTTTTATATTATTAAAAAGAGAATTTTTAGAATAATTTATTACCTTGGATAAAATAATTAATTTCGTTTTTAATTTCTAGTAACTTTATCATCTTGAAAACGCCAGTTTCTTTACGACATCTAAAGAGTCAGATCTTATAGTACCAACACCGTGCACAACGTCATATATAAACAGTTTGTTCATGGGGTTATCAATATTACCTAATTTTACAATACACGGAAATAAATAGTGGAACAAGGGAATTTGATCATGCAATTTGCTTGAAATGTGACATTTGGCCGCCATCTGCCTCTTCATGGATAGACAGACCTCACTTCATATTCTTCATATTTCGTGCGACATATTGTCAAGATTGGGTGTCATTTTATATCTATAAGTCACAAACTAGGTATTCATTGGAGCAGTGAGTGGCGAAGATGATTTTCACAGGCAGAACAAAACCTTGTGTATTTAAAGAATCATATACAATTTTTTACTTATGGTTTCCTAAAAGTGCTTCTTAAAGAATTCATTCACAGTCCAGCTTGTGCAGATAAAATGTTTATATCTTCATATAACATGAAAATAACCATTTTCTGGGTAATTCCACTAATCATAGTACAATATTGGTGTCCAGGAAAAAATCGTATTTTTCGATTTCCTTTAAAATACTCCTTGAATTGGTGTATGACGAGGGGGTCTGTCCTAATTCCAGAAAAAAGCATGTTTCTGAATAATATTCATGGCGTAGCCCAGAAGAACTCATTCTTAAGACTCTGTGAACTCTATAACAATGGATTAGTCTCTCTGTAACGGGGTTTTCCATCAGGTCTTATGTTGTGTAGCAGGAAAGGAGAAAATGTGTGGCTCAAATATAACGGGAGAGGAGAAAAATGCAGCAGACCAGACGGGGATTCGAAACCGGGCCCCCTGAATATCCAGTCAGGTGCTCTACCAACTGAGTTATCTGGCCACCGGCGATCGAATCCGACTGACCGCCACATTTCTCCTGTCCTGTTACATTTGGTTCCGTGCCATGCCCTGGAAGTGACAGGTGAAAGACCTGCCACGGAAGAGCCTGGGTTGTTGTCTGCAGGGGCCGAAGACCTTTAAGGAGGGAGGAATGTGGCGGTCAGTCGGGTTTGATCGCCGGTGGCCAGATAGCTCAGTTGGTAGAGCACCTGACTGGAGATTCAGAGGGCCCGGATTCGAATCCTGGTCTGGTCCACTGCATTTTTCTCCTCTCCCATTACATTTGTAAACACTCTCATATCCCCAGAATGCATGTAAACAAACGAAACTTTTCTGATTTTTGAGCAAGGCCATGATACTGAACTACTTGATATTTTTAAATCCAAGATATTTTATTGCTTTCTGCATAAGATCACTTTGTAAAACGCGATAGTATATTTAAATGAAATACATGTATGGAGATAATGAACGTATTCAAGCTCATAGTCCGTTTAAACAAAACAAATCAGGAGCGGCGCAAACACAGACCTCCAAAAACATCAGAGGCGGGATCAGGTGTCATGGAGGAATAAGTATTCCCTGTCAACCGGTCATACCCACCATGTGCTCCTTGTCATAATCAGGTAAACGGGAAAATCCGTAGAAATTTCAGTGTGTAAATAATGGCCTAAAAAATAGTATGAAAATCGTCAGTCAGCACTTGACCTAATGATAGATTGTATTTGCTGATAAGGTCATTGTATCGATCGACCATAGAACATGCGAAATGATGACTTCAAACAAGACTGTTAATATCCTTGTTTCATCAACTTATTGGTTAATAGCTTGCTTCGTTTTAAAACATGATCGTATGTAGAGCATGTTCTTGCGCATTGAATCAACTGGGAGACATATTCCCCATATGCAGGTGATAAGGGTATATTGCTGCATAAGTAAGGGAAGTTGACGATAGAAAAGTTGAAGTCATCACGTTTATCATAAAGTTTTGTTGTTAGGTTAGGTCTCTTAAGTACTAGTAAATTATCCAAATATGAAATAGATGTGTCAGACTCTGTGGTGTCTTTTATTTCAAGTTCACTGGAATATATATCGATATATGAATGAAAGTAACTATTGTTAATTAATAATACGTCGTCGATATATCTGCATTGTAAATGTCGAGTTGAAGGCCACAGCAAGCGTTTTCTTCTTCTCATATAGAAGTTTTTAAATAAATTCTGCTTCATATGAATACAAAAATAGGTCTGCTTATAACGGGGCCAATTAGTACCCATGAGAATTCCAACAGATTGTTGGAAGACCTGATCTCCAAAAACTACATAGATATTGTCAATCAGAAACTCAAGCATCTTTTCAATGTCAACTTCAGAGTACTTGAGTGTACAATCAGAACATTCCTTGTCCAATAAAACAATACAAATTGAAAGCTGACCAAACATGGGCAACTGAAAAAAACTAGAAATATGTCCATAGGAGATGAATGCCCCGCCAAGGGTATATTAATAATGCAACATTTTAACACAAATTGAGAAAAGTAAGGTCAAGGTCAAAGGAAAGGTCAAGGTGAAAAAATATTGATGCAGTTAAATAGCTTATATCAGTATGTATCAGCATATGGAGTTTGACACTAATTTAAGAAAAGTGAGGTCAAGGTCAAAAGAAAGGTCAAGGTAAAAAAAATGTTGATGCAGTTGAATAGCTTACATCAGTGTGTATCAACATATGAAGTTTGATTACACTATCTTGAATGGTATCTTTAAAACTGAGCTAAACACTAATTTAAGAAAAGTGAGGTCAAGGTCAAAGGAAAGGTCAAGGTCAAAAAATGTTGATGCAGTTGCATAGCTCTCATCAATATCTATCAGCATATGAAGTTTGATAAAAATATTTTGGATAGTTTCCTTTGAAACTGAGCTTTGAACAGAGCTAAACACAAAGTGTGATGGAAGGACGGAAGGACAGAAGGACGGAAGACAGACATGACAAACACTATATGCCCCGGCCATATTCATGGAGGGGCATAAAAATCATATGTGGAACCAGGTGCCATGGAGAAGTAAGCATCCCCTATATTGACCGTCACACCTGCTTTGAGCCCTTAATCGTATTCTAAGTCAATCATATACCTAAATGTCTAAGAAAATGCAATTAGCTATAAAAAAAAAAAAATGGAAGCCTTGTGTGTTTTTCTTTAATCTTTATACCCTGCTACAAATTACATCTCAGCTTGATTTACCTCAGTGTGAAGTTTGAAAATGATGACCAGAATCGGCCAAGAATGAGAAAGATATTTTTAATCACAAAATTAAGTGGGGTATTTAAAACATCATTCTGATTTAGTTATTTATGATGTTAAAAGATACTGATCTGAATACATCATGCAAGTATAAATAAATTCTTCTTGTGTGCTAATTGAAAGGGCAAAGGTCAAAGCAAGGTCAATTTGGTGGTGCAATGATAACACATCTCATTCTAATTTATCTGTTTATTAATAATGACAATTTTACCACGGTATCTTCCATAGAAATCATCAATCCATCAACGGCATAAAACCAACATTAATCCATAGACATCATCAATCCAAACACTAGATTTTGTGCTGCAATCTTGCCAATATATCCACATAAAGTCTATAGAGTCATAGAATCTCTTTTTGATTCTGTATCAATAATTTCTTTGTGGGATGTCATAAGCTCTGCTGAGTGTGATATATTATATACGATGGATATTCCAGAAAAAAAACAAACCAAAATTGACATAATATATCAGATTCAACTTGATTCTTTGAAATATGAATCAATAATACAAGATTCTAAAAATAAAGTCTAGGTCTTCAGTCTGAACAAATATCCTGAAAGGACTATCAGATTGCAGACCTTACTTGTCACAGTTTTATATTAAACTGCTCCTCAATCTTAGATTTGTATACTTTAAATTTATCTCTCAGTTTTTCTTTGACATTCTCCTCACAGAAAGCATAGTTTATACTTTGCTCTGATAGATTCCATAAGTCACATTGTTTAAGGTCAAAAGTAGAAGCTGCCAGTTGATACTCCTCTGACAAGGAGGTACTAAAGACCCCCTTATCATCTGTCTGTAAAGTAGAAAATTACAACAGTGTCAGTCTAATGTTGGTTACATTTCTAGAAGCAACTATAACTTATCCAAAGAAAAATGATAAATATGTAAAAAGAGAACTTTTATGCTTTAAATAAGATTATACTGGATGTTATCTTAGACAGTCAGTTAATCAGATAATACATGTGTGCTGGGAATATAAGGTCCAAAAATATGATACTAAATATGTTTTATAAATACAACAACTCAAACAAATGATACATGGGTGATCTGTTGATCACTCTAACTTACACCAATGATACAGGGATATTTTTGAGACTACTGTCTTAACAAATCTTTGTGACTGTGACTTACACAAATGATACAAGGGTATTCTTGTGACTACATGACTTAACAAATCTTTGTGACTAAGTGACTTACACAAAAGATACAGGGGCATTCTTTGTGACTAAGTGACTTACACAAATGATACAGGGGCATTCTTTGTGACTAAGTGACTTACACCAATGATACAGGGGCATTCTTTGTGACTGACTTACACCAATGATACAGGGGCATTCTTTGTGACTATGTGACTTACACAAATGATACAGGGGCATTCTTTGTGACTATGTGACTTACACCAATGATACAGGGGCATTCTTTGTGACTAAGTGACTTACACCAATGATACAGGGGCATTCTTTGTGACTATGTGACTTACACCAATGATACAGAGGCATTCTTTGTGACTAAGTGACTTACACCAATGATACAGGGGCATTCTTTGTGACTATGTGACTTACATCAATGATACAGGGGCATTCTTTGTGACTAAGTGACTTACACAAATGATACAGGGGCATTCTTTGTGACTATGTGACTTACACAAATGATACAGGGGCATTCTTTGTGACTATGTGACTTACACCAATGATACAGGGGCATTCTTTGTGACTAAGTGACTTACACCAATGATACAGGGGTGTTCTTGTGACTACATGACTTGCACAAATTATTCAGGATTTTTTCTTTAAATAATTGACTTGCATAAGCACGGCTAATGCAAAGGACATCTTAACTTACACAAATGATACAGGGGTGTTCTTTGTAAGTGACTTAAACAAAATCTTTGCTAGCCAACAGTTTCTGATCCACTTCTCTCCTCACACACCCTTGGCCTATAGTGCTTAAAAAAATTGTATTTTTTTCTAGTGTTGTGATTGGAGTTGAATGTTATCGTTTGACCAATGACAACAACTGTATTTAGGATATATCTTGACTCTTTAGTCTCGGAATAAAAAAAAAGAGTAAACAACGATCCATTCTATTCATTCTAATATTCAATTCTATAAATAGCTCTGGTGTCATTCAATCTATATTGCAGATGTAGATCTGCACGCTAAATAACAAACATCGATACCTTCTTTTTAATAATTCGATATCCAAAAACTTCTACTTTTAAATTTGCTTTTTATTTCTGTCGATGACGCAATCCGTGCATATGTAGTAAGATTCAGGATTATGTGACATAAACAAACCCGACTTTTGACAGCACCATAGGCCAAGGGTTTGTGAGGAGAGTAGCCGATCAGAAACCCTTGGCTAGGAAAGATGCTTACACAATTATTACAGGGTATTCTTTCTTTAAATGCTCTAACTTGGATAAACACAGTTAATACAAGGGACATCTTGACTTACACAAATGATACAGGGGTGTTTCTTCTCATACCAAAACTTGAACTGATGGTTGTCAAGGTTAGGGACAGTCTGACCAATGAGGTTAGAGGTCAAGCAAAGCTCTGCAACAATGAATACACTAAAATACACTGCTTGATATAAATTATTTTATGCTATTAATCTTCTTCTATAAACATAATAAATGCCTTAAAGTGGTTTCATTATTTTATGCTGCATACTAATTATTGTTGTTTTTCATGATTGAGCTAGATCATGAAATAAGATTATCAAAGAACTATAGATTTTACCTCAACAAAAAATTATTAATCCACATTTTCCAAGAAGAACATAGATTAAAAAAAAACAAAACAAAATCCCACTCCATAAATGTATATACAGTAAAACAAGCTTATAGCAAACACCCTTATAACGAATTGACACTTACAGTTAAGATTTTCATTTCTCATGGCTTTAAAATACTGTATGTGTACTTAAACAAGCGGGCTTCATATTTTAGCGGCTTTGGCGCTGACAACAATAGGCTAATTCATGAATACCATTAATAAATCATTCAAAAATACAATACATGGTGCGGATGTGTGTAGCCCTAATTCATGATTAGACCAACCACTCAATACCCACTTACTGCACTAAATTTTGATTAAGTGAATTAATGTACACATACAGTATATTGTGAACTTAACAGATATAACAAATTGTGTTTATAACAAAGCAAAATCATCCGTCCCAGGTACTTTGTTATAAGCATGTTTTACTGTAGTAATACCTGGTGGATGGTTGTGTTTAAGAACAGTGTCTACATGTATCATTATACCTAGTGGAGTGTTGTGTTGAAGAACAGTGTTTACATGTTAATGTATAGTAGTGACACCTGTGTCTACATACACACGTAAAGTAATACCTAGTAGAGTGTTGTGTTTAAGAACAGTGTCTACATGTACATGTATAGTAATACCTAGTGGAGTGTTGTGTTTAAGAACAGTGTCTACATGTACATGTATAGTAATACCTAGTGGAGTGTTGTGTTTAAGAACAGTGTCTACATGTATAGTAATACCTAGTGAAGTGTTGTGTTTAAGAACAGTGTCTACATGTATAGTAATACCTAGTGAAGTGTTGTGTTTAAGAACAGTGTCTACATGTATAGTAATACCTAGTGGAGTGTTGTGTTTAAGAACAGTGTCTACATGTATAGTAATACCTAGTGAAGTATTGTGTTTAAGAACAGTGTCTACATGTATAGTAATACCTAGTGGAGTGTTGTGTTTAAGAACAGTGTCTACATGTATAGTAATACCTAGTGGAGTGTTGTGTTTAAGAACAGTGTCTACATGTATAGTAATACCTAGTGAAGTGTTGTGTTTAAGAACAGTGTCTACATGTATAGTAATACCTAGTGAAGTGTTGTGTTTAAGAACAGTGTCTACATGTATAGTAATACCTAGTGAAGTGTTGTGTTTAAGAACAGTGTCTACATGTTTAGTAATACCTAGTGAAGTGTTGTGTTTAAGAACAGTGTCTACATGTACATGTATAGTAATACCTAGCGGAGTGTTGTGTTTAAGAACAGTGTCTACATGTACATGTATAGTGACACCTGTGTCTACATGTACATGTTTAGTAATACCTAGTGGAGTGTTGTGTATAAGAACAGTGTCTACATGTTTAGTAATACCTAGTGGAGTGTTGTGTTTAAGAACAGTGTCTACATGTACATGTATAGTAATACCTAGTGAAGTGTTGTGTTTAAGAACAGTGTCTACATGTATAGTAATACCTAGTGGAGTGTTGTGTTTAAGAACAGTGTCTACATGTATAGTAATACCTAGTGAAGTGTTGTGTTTAAGAACAGTGTCTACATGTATAGTAATACCTAGTGGAGTGTTGTGTTTAAGAACAGTGTCTACATGTATAGTAATACCTAGTGGAGTGTTGTGTTTAAGAACAGTGTCTACATGTATAGTAATACCTAGTGGAGTGTTGTGTTTAAGAACAGTGTCTACATGTATAGTAATACCTAGTGAAGTGTTGTGTTTAAGAACAGTGTCTACATGTACATGTATAGTAATACCTAGCGGAGTGTTGTGTTTAAGAACAGTGTCTACATGTACATGTATAGTGACACCTGTGTCTACATGTACATGTTTAGTAATACCTAGTGGAGTGTTGTGTTTAAGAACAGTGTCTACATGTATAGTAATACCTAGTGGAGTGTTGTGTTTAAGAACAGTGTGTACATGTACATGTATAGTAATACCTAGTGAAGTGTTGTGTTTAAGAACAGTGTCTACATGTTTAGTAATACCTAGTGGAGTGTTGTGTTTAAGAACAGTGTCTACATGTACATGTTTAGTAATACCTAGTGGAGTGTTGTGTTTAAGAACAGTGTCTACATGTACATGTATAGTAATACCTAGTGGAGTGTTGTGTTTAAGAACAGTGTCTACATGTATAGTAATACCTAGTGAAGTGTTGTGTTTAAGAACAGTGTCTACATGTATAGTAATACCTAGTGAAGTGTTGTGTTTAAGAACAGTGTCTACATGTTTAGTAATACCTAGTGGAGTGTTGTGTTTAAGAACAGTGTCTACATGTATATTAATACCTAGTGGAGTGTTGTGTTTAAGAACAGTGTCTACATGTATAGTAATACCTAGTGAAGTGCTGTGTTTAAGAACAGTGTCTACATGTATAGTAATACCTAGTGGAGTGTTGTGTTTAAGAACAGTGTCCACATGTATAGTAATACCTAGTGAAGTGTTGTGTTTAAGAACAGTGTCTACATGTATAGTAATACCTAGTGAAGTGTTGTGTTTAAGAACACTGTCTACATGTATAGTAATACCTAGTGGAGTGTTGTGTTTAAGAACAGTGTCTACATGTTTAGTAATACCTAGTGGAGTGTTGTGTTTAAGAACAGTGTCTACAAATTCCTGGTTTCCCCCTGCCTCCCGATGAAGACAGGTACCATGTCCAATCCTGTCAGGGGGCAGGTTTAGCATATCCATTGTTTCCTCTGGGGCGGGAACCTGTGAAATTCAATTAACTAAAGATTACATAATATAGAACTTTAAAATAAACATTAAGTGACATTAAAAGACAATAATTTAAAATAACCAGTGACATGTCACTGTGGAGATAGCCAAATTAAACAAGAGGCCAGCATGCCTTAATGCCTGACAGAGCTGTACACCCAATAAAGGCACAAATGTAAACATTTCTTAAAGTACATACCTATGTGTATATGTTTTGTTCTGTCCTTGCATTATGTATGTAGTTCTTGAGAATATGCCTTAAAAATTGACAAATCAACAACACCTAGTCAAATGGACAACAGATACTTATTTCAGTCTCTGGCTCAAGTATAAATCCAATTGCAGTCAAAGTGCTGCTCATTTTAACCTCTGATAAGGTACATAGCCAGAACCCTTTCAATTCATACCACAAAATATTATACCTAAGAGCTTAATCTTTAATATTTCTCATCCATCACAGATGTAACTCATCTAAGTACAAAGCCTAAAAGCTGAGTCTTTGATCTTTATTATTTCTTGTCACAGATGTAACTCATCTAAGTAAAAAGCTACTCACGAGATTAGTCCTGCCCTTTTCTTAATCCATGTAAAGCCAGCCTAAGACCTGAGAATACTTGTCTATTTTTACCAAAAAAAGGGGTATAAAGTAAACTGATGATCTGAATTATTACATTTATTAACTCCAACTGGTGTTCAGTTTCCCTGTTTATTTTTTCCTTTTACAAGTGTAAGTTATGGAATGTTTGAGATACGAGTTCAGCTTGTTTCTTACCTTACAGATGTGGACCGGCTTGAAACCAAATACTGTTAATATTTTTGTCATTACAGAAGTAAAACCTGGCTTCAAAATTAGGTTCTGTGTATTTTCTACCTAACACAGGTGTAAAGTAGCTTGTTAACCAAGTCTGCCATATATCTTACCTACTGAGTTAACCAACATGAGTCAGAGAGTTCTCTTCAGTACTTACATCAAACAGATAACAAACAGGCTTTAAATTTATGTTCTTAATATTAATTACATCAAACAGGTATATAGCCAGCTTTAAACTTGAGTTTTCTACATTACTTACATCGAACGGATGTAAAACCTGCTTTAAATTTAAGTTCTTAACATTAATTACATCAAACAGGTATATAGCCAGCTTTATTAAAACTTGAATTTTCAACATTACTTACATCAAACAGATGTAAAACCTGCTTTAAATTTAAGTTTTCTACATTACTTACATCAAACAGGAATACAACCAGCTTCAAATTTAAATTTTCTACATTACTTACATCACACAGACACAGAGCCAGCTTTAAATTTGAATTCCTTAGTCACATATCGAAACCTTTACTGTGAGTTCAGCCAGATTTAAACATGAATCCTGTACATTTCCTACCTCACAAAGATGTAAAGCTAGCTTGAGACCCGACTTCTTCGCTTCTCTAAAAATGGGGAGGTAGTCTCTCGCATCACCAACCTAGTAATTGTCACTGCGGATTTTAACATTACACAGTCTACTTGAAACAACAGCTGATCTTATAATCAAAAATATCCAAAACATTTATAATGGCTAGAAAATAAATTCAGTGTCTCAATAATTTCATAACAGCCCTCATATTTTGAAAGAAATAAGTAATTTATTCTTTCCAAATTGACCATCATTCGGTGGTAATAATTGCTCAGCCATGTCATTAATAAATTTAACATCAATTTATGTATTCTTAGAAGAACAGTGTTTCCAAACAATATAAAAATTGGACCTAGCTTGCTCACATTTGGGTCACCACTGAGGTCGATTCCTGCAATGAGATCCCTGTGTGATTCTTGGAATTTCTGAGCAAGTTTCAGCGTCTCCCATCCAACTTGTACTCCATTCCGGCGATCAATCGCAAGGAGAAGTCTCACCTTGATGTCTAAATCTTTGCAGTCTCGTATTGCACGTAACACAGATTCTACATAACTCTCTTTTGACATGCCAGTATCCTGAACTGCTCTTGGGGTGCTCCGAAGTTCCAGGTACTTTACATTATCTTCATGGAATTCATGAATAACATCATATGTAACCTGAGAAGAAAGAATGGTGAGACAGTCAGTAAGTTATCACAATTTTTCACTTTAATTAAAAAATTAATCTTTTATTACCTGGTAAACAGATTCAGGTTATTACCAGGTAAACAGATTTAGCTTATTACCTGGTAAACAGATTTAGTTTATTACCTGGTAAACAGATTTAGCTTATTACCTGGTAAACAGATTTAGCTTATTACCTGGTAAACAGATTCAGCTTATTACCTGGTAAACAGATATAGCTTGTTACCTGGTAAATAGATTCAGTTTATTACCAGGTAAACACATTTAGTTTATTACATGGTAAACAGATTTAGCTTATTACCTGGTAAAGATTTAGCTTATAACCTGGTAAACAGATTTAACTTATTACCTGGTAAACAGATTCAGCTTATAACCTGGTAAACAGATTTAGTTTATTACCTGGTAAACAGATTTAGTTTATAACCTGGTAAACAGATTCAGCTTCTAACCTTGTAAACAGATTTAACTTATTACCTGATAAAGAGATTTAGTTTATTACCTGGTAAACAGATTTTTAGCTTATGACATGTTATAACCTGGTAAACAGATTCAGTTTATTACCTGGTAAACAGATTTAGCTTATTACTTGGTAAACAGATTTAACTTATTACCTGGTAAACAGATTTAGTTTATAACCTGGTAAACATATTCAGCTTATTACCTGGTAAATATATTCAGCTTATTACCTGGTAAACAGATTTAGCATTGTCTGTGAGTTGGTGGATGAGGCGGAATTTTTCAAAGCACCTATAACAGAAAAAAATGTATTGTAAAAACAAAATTTTATTCAGAATTTCGAATTGATTGAAAATGATCACACCTGGTAGAGAGTATTTTAGGTAGAAAGTAGCTCCTGTCTATAGGAGAGGTTTTTTTCTATTGCAAAAAAAAAAAATCCTTTGGGATGTCAGGCTACCAAAGAAACAGAATGTCTCAACCCTCTCCTTACCCAATGAATACTAGCTTATGAACAAGTACAAAAAATAATCATCTTACCTGAAGCTTTCCTTACTAGGTAAATTCAAACCAATGAAAAAATATAGAAAAATACAGTACCATCATAAAATATATTTACATCAAAGGACTTGCAAGGACTGTTCTCTGGAAGTAGGTATATGTTCAGTATAACATGATATATTTAATTTTATTTATCGAGTTGGCATACAATCACATGAAACATAATGTAAAGAAAAGACAAAAAAATGTAAAATCAATTAAATGTATATCGTGCACTGAGAATATGTATGCAAACTACTATTATTACACACACAATCACATGTAACATATACTAAAATATGGCTATTATACAGTTTGTATTCTACTTTAATTTCCGATATAAGAGATGTTTCTAAATTTCTTATCTAAGATACGACAAATTATTTTTGAAGTGTAAGTTACTCATTGCTCTTTGATTCTATTTTAACTTACTCCTTCAGAGTGGCAGTGCTTCCTTTCTTAAAGCTGAAACTTTGGTCAAAATTCCTTTTCTTCGCCAGTAATTTCTGGATTGTAACCTCACTAACTGAGCCATTGATATGTGCATGCAATTCCTGCAAATGATGTTTTCAATTAAAAATCTTATTTGTAATAAACTACATACAGAAACATTTCTCTTTTTACTCAATTTTTAAAAAAAAAAAAAAAACAAAACTTTTTGTTAGGTAGACCTAAGGCAATCTCACCACAGGAGTTCGCAATTTTATCAATAAAGTCAATAAAAATCACTCGATTGACCAAGCCATGCTATGCTAACGCATAGCTCATGGCTTGGTCAATCGAGTGATTTCTATTGACTTTATTGATAAAATTGCGAACTTCTGTGATCTCACACAACAGCTTAAGGAAAAAATAACAATCGAATTTGATACTTACAACTTTAGGTAAGCTTTTGCAAAATTCCTCCATTGCTCTATAGTGCGTTTAAGGATGTACCATTTGTTCTTCAGGATATTTAGTACGTTTCGAGTAAATTCGAACTGCACGATATATTCCTTGCCCTTTCACTGTTTTAGTCTTTCACTCTTTGATTGCTCAGCTCTGAATTCATCAAATTTTGCTTTAATCAAAAAGCATCAATATTTTTTCTTCAAATAAACACATTGCTCCATTTGGCCTTGGAGGCTTCTGTCTGATATTTTAAATATATCGATAATATTGCAACTGTACGACACGTTTTCTGACTCTTTTCACGATAATTTGTTTACACCGGAAATGAGAGAGTAAGGGCAGAAACTCTAGTACGAGTTATGTCTCTTGGTATCACAGACGACATTCACAAATAAGTTTACAAGTCAACAAAGCTATTTGCACAAATGTGAAACTCAAACAAAGTTGGGGTCATGGAAATTATTTATCTGTAGCTACAAATTTTGAACACAGAAAGATCTCTATGTAAATTAAGAATTTCTGCACAGCACTGAGGTTACAAAATGAAGTGGGTAGGTTTGCTAACATATCCCTAGAAAAGATTATTTATGTATTTCAATTAATTAAAAAACAAATACCAAATTTTTCAGCTTTCAAAGTTTTTGATGGCAAAACATTTTTACTTACTCAATTCTGAAGACAAGGAAATTCTAAATTTTGTGGGCAAAGGACCATACATGATAAGAGTCAATTTTGTCCCCCCAAAACCAGCATTTTAGAATGTGACTCAGATATGTATAGTTGTTTTTTGTTTATTATTTTGTAGAAGTGTTTATATTAGAAATATTTCCAATACATTTTTCACAATTAAATGCACTTACAGGCTGTAGATGAAGTCAGAAATGAAGCTATTTTTGCAATCCAATCAAAATAAGACAAAAATGTGCCTAGCTTTTTCTTGACGTTTTGCTTATGGGAAACATATATAGCGCAGCTTTGAACATGCAAAATTTTTATGTCAGTAATTAGTCTTGGATAGATACATCTTTGGTTAAAATATAAAGTTTGTTCAAACCTGCTTCGAGATATCGAGGGTAAGAATAAACGATTGTGACTTTCAGATAATTTCGACATTTTCATTATTCTTGTATTCGAGATACCAGTGTTCTAGATACTGAAGTTCAACTGTATATATATATATATATATATATATATATATATATATATATATATATATATATATATATATATATAAAGCACTAAAAATGACCAACGACACGAACAATAATAATTGTCAAATTTTCGGGACAACCTGTCCCTTCCTCAGGACAAAGAAAAAAGTTAAGAAGTCATAAAAACAAAGGAAATAGAGAAGCAAAAACAACTAGCACTACTACTAAACTACCAAACACTAAATATTTACAATGTTACATGTTTAATTCTGAGTTTATAGACAGTTGTGAACAAAGAAATCCGGAGCGCTATGAATTGCGTCCGGTCTATCGGGTGTACCCTGGTGAAGTGTGATTTACATAATTGAACGAATTAATTATCGCTAATTAATTACGGCCAACAGTAAATCGTACATTGTCTTATTCTCTCAACGTAGCGTAACTCTACATGATAAAAAGAAATTAAAGAAAGATAATATGGAAGGACAATTTTGAAATATGAATTTGGATATATTCTAAATTTGGAAATCGGAAAAAAGAAATAAACAAAAATGTGAGCTGTAAATATTTGGGTAGGTTGTTCCAGGATTACTAATACGAATTAACGGTAAAGTTTACACTATATAGAGAGAATGAACTTGTTTGTTACAATTCGGGATTGGGTCTAGTTCACGTTCATCCTGGTGAAGTCATTAAGTTTGTTAATACCATTAGGGCGGAATGACTTCAGCCTGTGCATCCAGAACTTTTCCTTGCCTTTTCTCTGCGCGTCTGTCCATCTTGGATTATGGTCAATAACCACTACTGTCATGTCCTCCCATTTGTGACCTTCAAGGTTGAAATGTTCCCCAACGGGTTCATTGAGTTTTTTGGTCCTAATGGTAGAACGGTGATTATTGACTCTCCTGCGGAGATCTCCTGTTTCACCAACATACTGTTTGGAGCAAACTTTGCAGCTGATGAGATAAATGCAGTTGTCTGTTTGACAGGACAAATTCCCTAGTATTTTGTAGCTGCGGCCTGTAACGGGGCTGTTAAAACTGTCTGTGTCAGAGCTGTACTTACAGAGAAGACATCTTCTGTCAGAGCAAGTTTTAAAGCCCCCGTTAGGTAATGGATTGTCCAATCTGGTTCTTACTACCATGTCCTTCAGGTTCCTCGGGCGCCTGTATGCAGCCAATGGGGGCTACAGGCGCCCGAGGAACCTGAAGGACATGGTAGTAAGAACCAGATTGGACAATCCATTACCTAACGGGGGCTTTAAAACTTGCTCTGACAGAAGATGTCTTCTCTGTAAGTACAGCTCTGACACAGACAGTTTTAACAGCCCCGTTACAGGCCGCAGCTACAAAATACTAGGGAATTTGTCCTGTCAAACAGACAACTGCATTTATCTCATCAGCTGCAAAGTTTGCTCCAAACAGTATGTTGGTGAAACAGGAGATCTCCGCAGGAGAGTCAATAATCACCGTTCTACCATTAGGACCAAAAAACTCAATGAACCCGTTGGGGAACATTTCAACCTTGAAGGTCACAAATGGGAGGACATGACAGTAGTGGTTATTGACCATAATCCAAGATGGACAGACGCGCAGAGAAAAGGCAAGGAAAAGTTCTGGATGCACAGGCTGAAGTCATTCCGCCCTAATGGTATTAACAAACTTAATGACTTCACCAGGATGAACGTGAACTAGACCCAATCCCGAATTGTAACAAACAAGTTCATTCTCTCTATATAGTGTAAACTTTACCGTTAATTCGTATTAGTAATCCTGGAACAACCTACCCAAATATTTACAGCTCACATTTTTGTTTATTTCTTTTTTCCGATTTCCAAATTTAGAATATATCCAAATTCATATTTCAAAATTGTCCTTCCATATTATCTTTCTTTAATTTCTTTTTATCATGTAGAGTTACGCTATGTTGAGAGAATAAGACAATGTACGATTTACTGTTGGCCGTAATTAATTAGCGATAATTAATTCGTTCAATTATGTAAATCACACTTCACCAGAGTACACCCGATAGACCGGACGCAATTCATAGCGCTCCGGATTTCTTTGTTCACAACTGTCTATAAACTCAAAATTAAACATGTAACATTGTAAATATTTAGTGTTTGGTAGTTTAGTAGTAGTGCTAGTTGTTTTTGCTTCTCTATTTCCTTTGTTTTTATGACTTCTTAACTTTTTTCTTTGTCCTGAGGAAGGGACAGGTTGTCCCGAAAATTTGACAATTATTATTGTTCGTGTCGTTGGTCATTTTTAGTGCTTTATATAAATTTCCATCCGTGACCTTGTATCTACTTAGTAGATCCGACACTTAGGATATACAGTGTTGTTGGTTTTTAGTGCTTTATATATATATATATATATATATATATATATATATATATATATATATATATATATATATATAAATTTTTTTTTGCTTGTCAGATAATTTTTGGAAGTTCCCTCCCCCCCCCCCCCACACACACACTTTTGGTCAGTTTATGTTTGTTTGTTTGTTGTTTTTTTTTTGCTTGTCAGATTTTATTTTGGAATGTTGCCCCCCCCCCCCTTTTGAAACCTTTGCTACGGGCCTGAAATGTACAACATTTTAATTGAATATTTTCACATATTGATTTGGAATATAAAAGAGAGGATTACGGTTTAAAAAAGGGGGAGGGCGATTAAACCCGTTGCCATAGATCGAGTAAAATTTGCTTGCTTGTGTGATCAAAACCATTATGTTTGGTATACTTCAGTTCATTTGAGAGAGAGGAAAAAGAGAGAAGCTAAAATGTAATGGGTATTTGAGCGATTTACAAACGCCAAAAGGAACACAGACACATATATCCAAAATGTCAAAACAAAACTTATTAACATTTAATCATTTTGATAAGAAAAAATCCGATCTAGAGATAGAATGGCTCCATCGAGTTTTCGATGAAATCTTGACACTGTGGCAATGAACTGGTTTATCTTTCGTTGGGATGCAGTATATTTTTTCAATGAAGAGAAAACATATCCAGTTTTACAACTAGAAAATTTATGCTTCTGATATATAGAAAGAAAATTCAGCATATTGTTTCCATTGTCCATATTTCACTGGCAAAAAGAATTTGGGACACCCCTTCCACCCACCCCGCTACTACGTTTAAAGATATAAAGTTAAGGGGTGAGTCCATTTCTTCACCATTGATGGTTCCATACCAGGTACACACCGTCTGAAAACATCTATGAGGAATTAATTCACTTAATTTATATAAGCTTGTACTGTTATGATGCGTCATCCTTGATAACATCGTTGAATGCAACATGTCTGTAAGACGTACGTTAACATTATTTTACAGTTCCAAATAAAAAAGAAGATACCACTCTGTTTGAGGAGCAATAAATACCCCTAACAAGGGGATTTTGTTTTATTTATTTATTTATTTATTTATTTATTTATTTTAAAGTGTGTGTATAAATTTGTGACAAAATGGATTTGCTCTCTACTGAATTGATAATCAAATCCATTGTTTCTTTCATGATCATCAATTCAAATGATGCGCATGAGAAAACTATGCATTAATGGATTAGATGAGTGCATCAATTCAAATTATTGCGCACGATATTGAATTTAAATATTCTCAAATAATCAAATATATATACAGGTACTAGTATTCAGTTATTTGAATTTAAGTTATATTGCACTTCATACGTTCCCATTTCTCTCTTTTCCCCAATCCCGACTTACATGTCCTAGTACATACAGGTAGTATATAGTACATTGTAAATATGTATATGAATATCCTTTTTAATATTGTACAAGAGTATACTTGTAGTTCTTTTACTTATTTGGACCTTTTTACGCTTTCAAATAATTAGACTTGAAATCCTGGTCTAGTATGCAATCCTGCAGCAAGGTCAAATTTGGTTCTACATACATGCATCATGCAAATAACACTGTAAAAGGAACGCTCACACTCGATTTACTAGTTTTGTAACTTTTTTGCGGGGGTGGATAAAAAATGTTTACAACCCCTCTTAATAAAAGATTGTTTGGAAACATAATTGTATCATGTTGTTCATTGTTTTAAAGATTTTAACGAATTTACAAA